TTTATTATCTGTCCCTTTACGTGTGCCTGTTTTTTATAGAGGGGAATGAGCACTGAATTTCAAGAAGCAGGTTCCGGAGGAAGATTGATTTAGACTCATCACCTAGCACCCCTGGCCTCAGTCTCCTCATCTGCGAAGTGGGTGGTCTCCGCTTATCTTCAGCTTCCTTTCAGATACAAAAAGCTCCCTCGCCCTGTGCTGTCGGTTAAAGATTACATCCCAGCCCTGGCTGCTGTGGTGTAGTCTTGAGAGTGTCGAGCTGACACACCAAAGAGTCGTGGGTTTGATTCCTGGTCAAGGGAACGTGCCTGGGTTGCAGGTTCATCCCCAGCCCTGGTTGTGGTGCATTCGGGGGGCAAGTAATCGATGCATCTCTCTCACATCTATGTCTTTCTCTCTCTCTCTCCCCCACTCTCCCTCCCTCTCTCCCTCTCTCTCCTTCTCTCTCCACCCTCTCCCTCCCTCCCACTCTTTCTAAAAGTCATTGGAAAAAATATCCTCTGGTGAGGATTAACCAAAAAAAGATGGAGCGGCTCTTAGCACAGGGGCATGACCCTCTAGTCCACGGGGTGATGCAGGGTCCTGCGTCAGGGACCGCTAGGGAGGAAGTAGCATTCTCGTCTTCCTGCCCAGCAGTGCCATGACGCAGTCCAGTGGCAGGTACTGGAGTTGGTTCTCTAGGCCTCAGTGTCTCCACCTGTACCAAAGGCAGGTCAGACCTTCCCAGGGAGCCTTTTGTGGCTGACAATCTGGTTCTGAGGACCCCCTGCCATTGGGAGAATGAGGGGTGCACACCTGTGACATGCTGTTCGCCTGTGAACCCCACTCCAGAAGGGAACACGGGTGGCCCCGTGCCTCCAGGTGCGGGTTGCAGATAGCATCGCCAAATCTGAAAAGGACGTACTAGTAGGAATGATTCTGAAACTAGATACGAGACCTAAAAGAAACCAAGACCCTGCCTTCGGGAAGGAGGCTGACTCGGTTTCCCTCTTTGACTTTGCACGTTCAAAATAAAATGTCTGGCCTCATCCGCCAGTCTTGGCAACACCTACGCCCCTTGCCCCGGAAACACCACGTCAGGATTCTGTCCTGGGGAGATCAGGGCTGTGCGTGGGGAGTGGTCGGCGAAAGCATTCATTTGCACGTGACTGAAAACGGGAACAACCCGGCTGTCCAGCGGGAGGGGAGTGGTTACATCAACAGGGAGCCACACGTGGGGACATGGTGCAGTCACTGAGATCGTGTGGTGCACAGGAGTGCGTAACATAAGAGCTCACGTCCTCTGAAGGAGAAACGCAGGCTGCAAACAGTGTAATTATATGTCAAAGAAGGAAACGTGGAAAACAATTAGAAGATCCGCCAAAATGTTAACAGTGATTATCTCTGGGTGATAAAATTATGGGTATTTTCAGTTGTCTTCTCTTTGTCCTCATCCATGCCTGTTAGATTCCCTAACATGAATAAGGATTACTTTTATGCCAAGAAGCAGCATCAAGGTAGAAATTACAAGGCAATCATTCTGCCTTTTAAAATGTTTTACATGAAAAGGAATTGCCCTCCCATGTACACATTCACCTCTTCGTTCTGTAAGTATGTGAGGGCCAGCAGGCCCCAGGCGCTCTCCTGGATGCTGGAGATACATCAGTGAACAGAACAGCCGAGGTCCTCCGGTGGAGGGAGAGAGAAACATGCAGTAGGCAGTGAGGAGAGCGTGGGGGTGCACACCTCGGGAACGGGAGGACGGGGTGTCGTGTGAAGAGGGCGGGTGGGGAGGGCCATGCTCGAAGCATCCCGAGTGGAGGGGGGGACACGCCCTGTCCTGTATCGGTCAGGGGAAGCAGAAAGTGCGAAGACCCTCTGGCAGTAAGCATGCTTGGCATGTTCCAGAAGATGAAAAATGAGCCGGAGAACAGCAGGCATTTTATTTTACCTCGGCTGTGCTCCCCGGGAGGCTGGGATGGCCATTAAGTAGCATCATCTTGACCTGTTGCCCAGTTACTGAGTAGGAGGTAATAGATGTCATGACTCATGGCTCGTTAGAAATACACAGGCTGTACTTCGTTAACGGAATCACTGAAACACCTCCCAGTTCCTTTGTGGTTTCTCTCCAGAAACCACGCGATTTCTCTAAAGTAACATTGCGGTGGAGGCAGGTGGATACGGAGTTACCTTAGATGTAAGGTGCTGTGCTGATGTCCTCGGTTGTTGCTGATGTCCTCGGTTATTTATGGCATAGCTATTTCTGTTACCCATGGAGCGGCACCGACAACACAACCGTCCGTGTTATATTGTCGGGGTTGTTCAGAGCATTGTCATTGGGGTGGGGGGAGTTTATAAGAAACCCACAGTATTCATTGGCTGCGGTGGCCGGTTTACTGTTGGCTGTCTACCCTCGGAATCTTAAAAGCAGAAGGAAGCTGCTATTTCGGGTCCATCTCTCTACCCTCTGCAAACATCTTGGATACATATCTTCTTCAAAGCCATGTTTTCTGTCGGGCGAGGGGATACAGTGTTGCTGAAGATGCGTTCTCGGAATAGGTAGATGGGCAGTTCTAGTGGAACGGAGGTAACCCGTGAAGCATTCTGGGGCCGCCGCCCACCCCAGCCCAGCTTTCTCCTTCATGGCCTGGGCGCTGAGGTGTGGAAGGCGCCGCGACGGTTGCGGAAGGCCCACGCGTCGGGAACATCTGTCAGGACCACAGTCAACTTCATGGGTGAAAACGCCCTGCAGCTGCTTCAAGCGCCCCAGAGCCATTAGTCCCTCGTGTTCGGGTCTTTCCAGATGTTGCTGTGGAATTCCTGACAGCAGAGTCATCTCTCTGGGCTTCTCTCTGGTTACATTTTCTCTGTGTGAATCAGAAGCGCATAGTCGAGGGGCTTAGTCGGCATTCTCATCTCAAACTTGAACCTCCCGATTAGTCACTTAAAGTTAGGTACAAACCAGAAAATTTCTCAACTTGGGGTCGTTCCTGGGGCCGCTGCTTGGAGGACGGCGCTGGCCCTGAGGGTGAGGGTGACTGTGATGGAACCGAGTCCTGGCTTTTTCTTGCAAGTCTGTCTTAAAATTCCTTCCATCCTCTGTCAGAGGGGAGGCCAGTGTGTGTGTCATTGCAGCTCAGATTTTGTGTCTACAGAGCATCAGTGTTCCCGGTGGCCCGAGTCCCCATGTTTCCTACTGTGCACTGCCCATAGGGGTAGAGTACAACTGTATTTACTTTTTTATTTAATTAATTTATTTATTTTTAATCCTCACCCGAGGACATTTTTGCATTTATCTTCAGATAGAGCGGGAGGGAGAGAGGAAGGAAGAGAGAGAGAGACACATCGACTGGCTGCCACCCACCTGACCCCAACCCAGGCTGGGGACAAACCACAACTGAGGTACGTGCCCTTGGCGGGAACCGAACCCGGGTCTCTCTGGTTCGTGGGCCAACGCTCTAACCGCTGAGCCAAACCGGCCAGGGCTAGAGTAAACTGTATTTAATACTTCCGTCCTTGAAGAAGAAAAGTTGGGGCCATCGTTGCCCTGTGTTTTAATGTCTCGGGTTGCTCAGTCCATCCGAGCACGCGCTCACACCACGAGGTTTGTCCTTAGACAGACCAGGTATTTCCATCAGAGAAAAGCATCGCCTCACCGCATGGCATCTGAGGAGTGCAACCTGGCTTCGTTCCTTTATCCATTCAACCAAAATATCGAGTGCGTCCCCCGTGCCAAGCGCGGTGTTAGGGCTGGGGATCCAGAGACGGCGGATCCGGCCTCAGAGCATCCTCAGTGGAGCCTGGCACAGAGCAGCTCCTCGTTCCCCCCGAGAGCCAAGAGCTGATGTCGCCAGTGCGGCGGTCGTCTCCTAAAGCCCAAGAATGCCGCCTGTCCCTCCTACGCCATGTTCTTGGTAACCACGTTGGTCTGAGGGCTGTCCCGGCACCTGCCCCGAAGCAGAGCTGCCCTTGGTGGTGTCTGCCGCAGTGGGGGTGCACCCTCTCACTGAGAATGCGTCCAAAGCACGCGTCTGAGCCCTGCGGCTCAGGGATGTGGCTGCAGGGGATCAGCCAGCCCCCAGGACCCTGGCCTTGTGGGCTGCTGACACGTCCAGCAACGGGCTCCCTTGCTGTCAGTCGGGCAGTTTCAAGTGCAGACTCTGGGGGTAGCTTCTCCCCTCTCTCAGGACTCCTGGGCCGACAGTTGAGACGGTCCCCTGTGATCCCACCTACCTCTCCTTTTCTGCTGTGTCCTCTTGCTTTTCACCTTTGACATGAGACTGAGCCCCATGAGAGTGACGAGAGCATGGTCTCCCCAGAGCCTTTGGGTGGCAGGAGTGTCATTTGTAAAACCTCCTTTTGGTGATTCACACGTCACCCACCATGTGTTCTTTGGGCTCAAGGGGCAGTGAGTGTCTCCTGTGAAACCAGGTTCTCAGGCGTAGCCCCTGAGTTCAACTCTTAACATCAGGAAAAAAATAAACAAAAACACTGTTCTCACCGTGCCGTTTAGAGAAGCAGTAAATCACCCCTACAGATCGCCACTTAGGCAGTTCCTCTCCAGAGGACACTCTTCTCCCTTTCTACACGGGTACAGGTTTCCTTTCTGCAGATTAACCTTAAATTGGAAAATCTACAAATGAGAAAAACATCAGTGCACAGTTTGTTTTTGTGTTGTGTTAACTGTTGCAAAGCCCCGGCTTCCCCAAGCAGTTCACTTCCACATCCATCATGAGAAGCAGCCTGCCTGTGGCAGGTCCCGCCATCCGACTCTTGATGAACTCCTGAAGAGTTGTTTCTTCGTAGGAAAGGGCAGTTTCTTTGGTACTTTGCAAATGCTGCCCTGCGGATGGGCAGAGCCACTGTATGAATAGATGCGTCATCCTCACGCTCCTTTCCTGGCCCCATCCCACCTCCCAGCTCCCAGCTGGCACAAGCTTACTTACAATGTTTTCCATCCATCTTTCTCCTGGAGGGGGAACAAATGACTGACTGTTGCCACCTGTGTGCTTGTTGTTCAGAAAGCCAAGCTTGGCCCCGCTGGTAACAGAGCCTTCGGTCCTTCGGAAGAGAGGAGACTTTCCAACAACCTGGACAGAGTGAAACTCACCGACTTCAACTTCCTCATGGTGCTGGGGAAGGGGAGTTTTGGGAAGGTAAGAGGGCAGTGGCCTGTGCGGTGGCCGGGCCTTTGCACGGCACGCTGGGATCCTCCTGTTCTTCCTGAAGTGTCCAGGGCAGCCTGTCGGGTTTCCCTGTTCTCTGTGCCTCTTTCTCACATGCTTCCCACTTCCTTTCATTAGAAACAGCTGCATCCAAAAAGTTCCCGCGGGGTCACAGCATCACCATTTCAGTGTTCGGAACAGTGCGTGCTCCGCGGTGTGGGCTGAGTGGACACTTTTCACACCCAAAACTTAAACGTTGACTTGCAGTAAGCAAATGCAGTCATTGTGAGATGCTGAACTGGGTTTCTTCAGCCTGTATATCTGCAGTGGGCTCTTCTGGCCCCAAATCTCACCAGAAACCCAGGAGCCGATTTCTGTCCTGCCTGTTTGTTTGTCTTGGTTCCCGAATCATGAGAAGTTTATAAAGGTCCTTCACATTTTTGCCCTAAGGATGCTCCTGACAAATGGCAGACTTCAACCCTAATGCTGATAATGTTGCCTCTCCCTGTTCCCGGCCGATACAGCGCCATCGTGTGGCAACAGCCGACAGTGTGCAAGTCTTGCCGCCTTAACAGTGACGGTGCAGGAGGAATCGAATTTGCTGTGACCTGCCATATTTCATAGTCTGCACATAAAGGGGAACCTTATGAGTATTTTTCTATCACACATTTCCATATTCGCACGCGCCGTCTGAACTGTCGCCGACCTGGCTCCTCCCCACCCCCAGCGCCCGACGAAAGCCTGGGCGTTTTCAGGTTGCCCGTCCTCTGCTCGCAGGTGATGCTGGCCGACAGGAAGGGAACGGAAGAACTCTACGCCATCAAAATCCTAAAGAAGGACGTGGTGATCCAAGACGACGACGTGGAGTGCACCATGGTGGAGAAGCGAGTCCTGGCCCTGTTGGACAAGCCCCCGTTCCTGACGCAGCTGCACTCTTGCTTCCAGACGGTGGTAAGGGCCCAGCACACAGCGTGCTCGCCAGGGCTGCCTTGCCCAGTGCTCAGCCAGGTCAGCGTGACTCCCGCGGGGAAGGCCGGCTCAGCCCCGGTCCTCTCGGCCACGCAGAGGTGACTGGGGACAGCCTCTCAGCCTTGTGCCACGGGTAAATTTGGAGCGTTCCCCTCCCTGTGATGTGCCCTACTTAGAGAGTTGGCATTAATTCCGTTTAATTCAGCAAACATTGATATCAGAGGTGTTCTCCATGCCAGGCAATGTGCTAGGACTCCGAGACACAAAAACAATCCAATAACTCTCCGCGCTGGCTCGCGAACAGGCCAGCTCGCCAGCTGCCAGGCATCGCGCTGGGACATCGGAGACGCGATCTTGTGAAAGTGCGTGTTCTTTTCCAACGCACGCAGCAGGGTCTGGCAATCTGGCCTGTTTTGTACAGCCCGGGAGCTCTAAGAAAGGTTTAAAAAGTAATAAAAAATCATATTTCATGGCATGTGAAAATTAGATGAAATGCAAATATCGGAGTCATTGTTTTCTTGGGACACAGCCATGCTCTGCCACTATGTCATCGACGGCTGTGTTCGTGCCACGGAGGCAGAGCTGAGTAGTGGTGAGACACATGCAGAGCCTAGGGGACAGTCTGGCCCTTTAAGGATAAAGACTGCTGAGCCCTGTCCTATGGTAGAACCTCACAGAGAACAAAGACTATTCCAGAGCACTGATCAGCTGCTGGGGGGGCCAAGGCCCCGGTGTGGTGCTTCCGCGCGGCCTGCAGGGAATATAAACGCTGAGGTGGCCCCCAGCGCCGCATTCCCAAAGATAGACTTGCCACCGCTCAGCTGCTGTCCGTTCAAAGATATGACTCAATAATCAGTAACTGCGATTGTTACTGTTGTGGTTATTACTGTTTTCCCTTTCCCATTGCCCAGAAATTGTCTTTCTGTTTTCTGTCTCCCTTTACCATCTGGTGGGAGGTGCTCCTCGTGCTCCTGGACCGGAGACCCTCAGTGCGGCCGCGCAGTCTCGGATGTGGGGCCGCAGAGCCGGGCACGGCCCCCGTGTGTCAGCCCAGCGCAGCTGGCCCGGCTGCCCCCTGCTCCCCGCAGTGTCTAAGTGGCACCAAGGAGAGAGGAGCAATGTGCTAGGAAGAGGGAACCATGTCTTGAATCCCAGCCCAGATCCTGTAACCCTGGTTACTCTGATTAAGCTCCAGAAAGCGACAAAGCAGAGAAATAAAGATGAAATTAAAGTTCGGAACAGCCGAGCTGGAGGTGGGAGCTCCCGGGGCTCTTCCCTGCCTCCCAGCAGCAGCTTTGACGGTTTTCCCTCCGCCCTGGGCCACACTTGAATGTTTAATAACCGCTGTGAAACGGCGACGTCTTCCAGAAGAGGGCAGAAGTCAGCTGTGACCTGGCGTGTGGTGCTGTTGGTTCTGTTGCCGCCACGCCCCCTCCGTCTCCCTGTCTGTCCCCGCATGGTGTCCTCATACAGGCGCAGATGTGTTTGCTTCTATGGTGCGTGCCCTTCATGGGGCCAACACTTAGCATGCTGGTGACCGAGGACACCAGGAACCGCACTTGGGGATATTACGGCTGCAAGAGAGCATTTGAACAGCCTCTCCACTTACTGTCCCCTCCACCGCAGTAGATGTCATCGAGCATTTACAATGGATAAGCCCAGCCTAACTCCCCAGGCTTGTTTTCGGAAGCATCCAGTTAAACATGTGACCACGTTACTCTCCCATGCCCCCTAGACATTGCAGACCACAAACACCAGTTAAAATTCAGTAATTGGCCCATATGGATTCTTCACACCGTCCCTAACTTAGAAGTATCCTGTGTGTAGGAGAAAAGGGAAGACCATGTGAGGCGTTACTGTGACGGAGCGTAACCAGAAGGGGCAGACACGCGGACAGCAGCCGTGACTCCATAGTTATGTAGTGACTCTGCCTCCCGAGGCCCTCGTGCCGTAGGTTCCTTACGTGTTCTTTACTTGGGAAAAGACGTGTCAAAGGGCCGCACTGAGCAGAGGGGTCTCTGTGGCCCGCACTTGGCCGATGCGAGGGCAGAGCCCAGCCTGGAGAGGGAGGGACGCGGCCCCGCCCGAGGAGGCACTCACGCACCTGTCCCACCTTGGCCCCCAGGATCGGCTGTACTTCGTCATGGAATACGTCAACGGCGGGGACCTCATGTACCACATTCAGCAAGTAGGAAAATTTAAGGAGCCGCAAGCAGTGTGAGTATTTGTTTTTAAGTCCCTTAATTTAGACCCACGGTGGTCCCAGCTGGGAACTTCTGCCTGGTGAGCCTTGCAGGTGGGCTGCGCCCTGATCTCCGGAGTGGGGGAGAGTTGTTGGCAGGTTCATCTCAAGGTTTCCTAAGCAGAGTTTATTCCGCTTATAAATTGGAGGTGCTGGCGCATTCCACCCCAATCGACTGGGTCGGCCATTCGTTTACTGAACACGTGGTCACTGCGCACCCACAACGCCCGGGGCACTGGGAGCGTGGCAGGAAGTGCGCCCTCCCTGCCCTTGGGGCCTCACCGTGTGACCTGGAGTGGGGGAGTCACTGGACAATTGTAGCGTGTTGCCATAGCTCCAGAGGCGGCACAGGACACCATGCCGATCCTCAAAAAGGGGAGAGTGAGGGAAGAGCAGCCGGGGGGATGCCTCCCAGAGGTTCAGGGGCCGTGGAGCAGGGGCTCTGGGTGGCAAGCCCAGCGGGCGCCTGGCCGAGGAACAGGAGGGTAGGTTTTCCCAGGGCCCTCTGGCCAACAGGAGAAGGAAGGCTCGGAGGGAAGGTGATGGCTGGTGAACACCATGGAGAGGAGAGAGAGCGGAGTGTAGCAGGGACTTTGAGAACCTTCTGGAGGAAGAAACCAGGATTTGGTAACTGTGGGGAAGAGGGAGAAGAGAGAAGCCCCTTCAGCTGACACAGCTGTGGGGGAGGGGGAGAAGAGAGAAGCCCCTTCAGGTGACACAGCTGTGGGGGAGGGGGAGAAGAGATGAAGCCCTTCATCTAGGGACACCAGCTGTGGGGAGGGGGAGAAGAGAGAAGCCCCTTCAGGTGACACAGCTGTGGGGGAGGGGAGAAGAGAGAAGCCCCTTCAGGTGACACCGCTGTGGGGGAGGGGGAGAAGAGAGAAGCCCCTTCAGGTGACACCGCTGTGGGGGAGGGGGAGAAGAGAGAAGCCCCTTCAGGTGACACCGCTGTGGGGGAGGGGGAGAAGAGAGAAGCCCCTTCAGGTGACACAGCTGTGGGGGAGGGGGAGAAGAGAGAAGGCTCTCTAGGTGACACAGCTGTGGGGGAGGGGGAGAAGAGAGAAGCCCCTTCAGGTGACACAGCTGTGGGGGAGGGGGAGAAGAGAGAAGCCCCTTCAGGTGACACAGCTGTGGGGAGGGGGAGAGAGAGAAGCCCTTCAGGTGACACAGCTGTGGGGGAGGGGGAGAAGAGAGAGGCCCCTTCAGGTGACACAGCTGTGGGGGAGGGGGAGAAGAGAGAAGCCCCTTCAGGTGATGCAGCTGTGGGGGAGGGGGAGAAGAGAGAAGCCCCTTCAGGTGACACAGCTGTGGGGGAGGGGGAGAAGAGAGAAGTCTCTCTAGGTGACACAGCTGTGGGGGAGGGGGAGAAGAGAGAAGGCTCTCTAGGTGACACCCTGTTGTAGGTTTGGGAGGAGCCAGCCAGGCGGAAGTGGTTTGGGGAGAGAATTGTGAGCTTTGTGTGGGTTTCATTGGGACATGCCTTGGATGCCCGGATGTGAATCAACAACGCAGGGGACAGGCCGGGGCTCCAGGGGGAGATCTAGAATCTTCCATCTAGTGGGCGGACTCAGATACCTGAAAAATCATCCCATTTGTCAGGGTCCCGGAGGTCCCAGGAAATGCGGCAGGAGCAAATCTAAGCAGACGGGTTGCGTCCCCCTCACTCAGGACGCACAAGCCCTGTGCCCTGACGAGTCACGTCTGCAAAGGCTAACGGGGTTCTGACTGACATTTCCCGGGAACATAAATCCCAAGGCGTCGCCTGTGTGCGGGACCTGTCCTGGGGACGGCTGGCCGGGGACTCTGGTAGCAAGCCTTCGGAGACGGAGACGGGAAGGCGGCTGTTTCTGTTGTCATTCTTTTCCCCCTTTGGAACGGCCTGCCCTCCCCCAGGTTGTCAGTCAGAAAGCAGGACGTGCTCGGATCGCCCAGTGACACTGAGCTAAGGAGCAAGTGCGGCGGAGCCCCTTGCGTTACACAGTAGCACCAAGGTCATTGTATCTGTGTTGCCAGGAAGGTTTCATTTTTAAAAAGATAAAAAAGCATGAAAAAGAATGTCCAAGATAACCCCATCTCGTTTTTCTCTGCGATCTCTCCCCTCTCCCGCCAGCCCTCAGAGGTGCCCCCTGTGCAGCCTGCGGCCCTGGTCGCCAGGGCTTGTCTCTGCTCACACAACATCTGTGCTGCACGAAGTCTCCTGGGTGTGACATGCGCCCAGGCAGTTTCGTGCCTCCTCAGACTTCAGAGACTCCTAAGTACGATGCAGATTTTAAAACATCCTTCAGCATTTGCTCTGAGTCTCAGATATTAACCTACAATTTTGAAGGGATGGCAGTAACTGCCTTGACTATGAATTATTTACAAGGGTAAACGCGGGTATGAATCACGGCACGTGTCCCATGCATCCCGGCGCTCGGGGATGAGGCATCGGCTGGAGTTCCTCACAGAGTACTTGTCTTCCAGGGAATAACTGTGTGTTCAGTCGCTAATGTACTCTGTTCACGGGGAGGCAAATGGAAATGGACTCTGCCTCATCCTGGCAGAGAGGAGTCTAACAGCCAGTGTTTAAAAGATCATATTAGGAATTTCTTTCGAGCAGTAAGTTACCTGCCTACCTGCCCCAGACAGGAAGTGCTTGTTTCTGGGCAGGAGATGAACACAGCTCGCTGGTGTGATTAGCTGAATCATTCATAGGAGAAGTTGGAGTAAAAATGGCAGAGGGAAGGGTGAAGGGTTGGAAGAACACGTGTGGGACGGTGCGAACCTCTGATAGTCTCAGGTCTTACGTTCTTTTTCCTCTTCGGCACCTGAACTGGGAGCGTCCAGAGACCCCAGGAGTCCGAAGAAGACTGACGGGCTTTTTCTCTTGCAGATTCTATGCAGCAGAGATTTCCATTGGATTGTTCTTTCTTCATAAAAGAGGAATCATTTATAGGTACGTGGTGAAGCTTCCCCACAGTCTGTGCCGTGGGTGGACCCCTGGGTCTCTGGGTGTGTGATTCTGTGACGGGGGACCTAAGACGTGGAGTTGATAACCCCCGAGGCAACAGAGACCTGCTGAGACCCTCCAGGCGATCAGAACCACCTTCTGATCTCTGGACCTCAAAAGATTCGTCTCCTCTCGTTCCTGCCTCCCACAAGAAAACATGCAGTTCTCTCCACTGACAGCTCCTTCCTCTGCCTTTGATCTGGAAGGGAGGTGGGGAGCAGTGGACACTGAATTTCTGCGAGAGGCTCAGCTGGGTAAGGACACGGGGAAGTGGGGAGAGAGAGGCAAGGAAAGCTACTAAGCTCAAGTGTTCTGGTTGTCGGCTCTAGTGCAAGTCTGCGCCAAAGAGAGAAGCGTGTCTCCCAGGATTAAGTGAAGAGGGATGGAAAGGACCCCCGGCACTAGGCAGAAGAGAAGGGACACAGGGCTGACCACGGAGGTGGTTCCGTACCTGTGTCCTTGCACACCTGGCTTTGCATCCCTCTGTGTGGGATGCTGATAAGTCGGATGACCAGGCTGTCCCCAGACCTGCTAGGCTGGGATCTCTGCTGACTCGTGGTTGGGAATTGCTAGTTCAGCCTTTTAGTTATTCATTCAACATGCCCCTGCTAAGTACCTCCTGTGTCTGTGCCCTAGGCACTACCTTGGGCTCCGGAGATGAAAAAACAGTAATTCCTGTTCCCAACTCTCCTGGGACGTGTAGTTCACAAGCCTTGAGATGCAGCCTCTGCATCACCAGCCCCGGAGCACACCGAGCTAGGCCATGGGAAGGGCACTGACCGGTACCGCTTCCTTGCAGGGACCTGAAGTTAGACAACGTCATGCTGGACTCAGAAGGACACATCAAGATCGCCGACTTTGGGATGTGCAAGGAGCACATGATGGACGGAGTCACGACCAGAACCTTCTGCGGGACCCCAGATTACATCGCCCCGGAGGTAGGGACCCCTATTCTCCTCGTGTTCTAGACGAGCGCCCGTAAACTGCAGCCCCGCTCCCCTGTGGGGGGTGAGCCATTCGCCAGCCACCGTGTGGGGCAGGGACGGCCAGACTGTCTGAACCGGACTAACCAGCAAAGCAGAACAGACATGTGAATGCTCACGGCACCGAGTGAGGGCACTGGTCAGCCGGCTGCGCGGGGAAATGTGTTTCCTACGTGGCCATGGTCAGAACGACTTGAGAACACCGCCGGGCAGGGAAGGGGGGATCTGGACCGTCGAAATGTTCTTCGTGGGAAAACGGGGTCAGAAGGTGGTTCCAGTGATGGCCTTCTGGCAAAATCAGGGTGGTTGTCGCTCTAAACAGCACGTTGGAATTGGCCAAGGCGCCTCTTCGGGGGAGGACGCACCTGTGAGGTTATAAGCAAAGTGGTTCCGAGATTTGCGTGTTGACGGCCTTGGCCATACCGCGCTGTTTGTTAGGCCGCAGATGGAGTCGTTTTCCTCCTGTTGGAGAAGCCTCCCTGGGGTGGAGTGGGCTGTGACCGGCTCCCTGTGTAGCCAGCTCTGTGTCCACGCAGCCCTGCGGAGGCGCAGGCTTCGCCCAGCGAGGCGCCCACATGCTGCAAAGGAACGGGCTTGGGTTCGGCCAGCGTCCGCTCCCTGCAGAGCTCCACGCAGCCGTTGGTGGCTCTGCTGGTGTTCAGTCAGCGTGCCGTCCGGTGCGTTTCCTCGGAGGCCGTTGGTACGGTGGGGAAAGCATGAGCTTAGACGTCAGACCGATGTGAGCTTGCATCCTGGCCCTGGTATTTACAGGCCGTGGGAACTCGGGCAGGTTACTCGCCCTCTCTGAACCCATCTCTGCAGCGGCAGGTTGGGGATCGTGATGAGCTCCGTGTAGAATTGCTGGGGGAGTCCTGTACCTCACACCGTGTTGGCACCCAGTAAACCCTCCATAGGAGCCACTATTCCGAAAGGGAAACTAGCTTATGTTCCTTTGTGAAGGGCTTTTTGTTTGTTACATTCCTAGACTGTGTGGAAACATAGAGTTGGACTATTTACTTAGAAACTTAAATTCTGAATTACATGGGCAAAGACATTATGTCATCTTGATAAGTAATTTATTGGGGTTCCCCCCAAAGAGCTAACACATTAGTATTTCCAGGCTTAGCATGAGCTTAGACAGTCCTATTTTCAGATGTGAATAGCAAAATATTACAGTAGAAATACATCCCCCGTGCTGTCATGCTAGAAACTTGGGAACAAGCTTTCAGAAGGAGGGATGCTGGGAGCACCTGTTGGAGAGAGGGATGCTGGGAGCACCTGTCGGAGAGAGGGATGCTGGGAACACCTGTCGGAGAGAGGGATGCTGGGAGCACCTGTCGGAGAGAGGGATGCTGGGAGCACCTGTTGGAGAGAGGGATGCTGGGATCATCGACTTTGGGCCTCTTCATACATAGAAAAGAACATGGTCTGGCCCTAAACACCCCCGTTTCTGCAAGCCTCCAGCCCTCTCCTTACACCCACTGTACAAGCAATAACAAAGAATGCACCTCGTGTTTATTGAGTGTCTACTATGTGCAAACACCTTACATACTTTCCCTCGATCCCATAACCTGTTCCATAAGGGACATAACACCAGGCCGGTGTTCCAGGAGAGGTGCCTGAAGGGTAAGCCATGGTCTAAGGCAACATCACTAAGAAGCGCAAGAGTCAGGCATTAACCCCAGGCTCAGGCCACCTCCTGACTTCTGCCCTCCACGCTAAATGCCACTCAAACCCTCCATGACTCCGTGTTCAGAGAGCGTTGTGCATGCTTTACTGAGCCAAGCGTGGGGCCACCAGGGGTACAGATGTGTCTCAGACGAGGGCCCTGACCCAGAGTGCTGACAGTTCAGGAGAGGTGACCCCGTGCAGACCAGCAGGAACCGAAACCCACGTTCCGTTTCCAGTGACCTGCGTTGGGAAATGAGCCGCCCGGCTCTGGGAACTGCATCGGTCCTAGCTGGAGGGGCGTCTCTGTGTGCTAGCATTTCCCCGGAAGGGCCCACGGGATGACTGCGGTGTGGAGAACGACCCTCTAGGTCCGAGCTTTCTGAATTCGGCCTGAGGTTAACATTATCCTGTCCTCCGTGTAAATCTTCCTGTCAGGTGGAGGCAAGATAATTATCGAAGGTGGCACGTTCCTTAACAGGCGAGGCGGAGACTCAACTCGTTAGGCTGTTTGTTGGAAAACCTTGAAATGGATTAGTGCGGTAGCGTCTCCCGAGCCGGGGACAGGAGCTGAGGCGGAAGAGGTCGCCAGCGTGTGATTGTGGAGTTGAGATGCCTCCCGTGTGAGGGGCACTCATCAGAAAGTAATTTCCGAGGCTGGGATGAAGGGTCCTCTTTGACATAGAAAGAATCCTTCAGGGTCAGTGAGAGTCCTTGACGAGGCCGCACAAAACTCTTTATCTGGATTCAAACCTGAAAGTTAGTTATTGGGGGCGTACGAGGGTCGGTGTCTCCCCACAGACCCCGACTGCTAGCGTTGCCCACCGTTCCCTGGAAGAGAGGCAGCAGGAAGAGTATCCGCTTCCGGCAGGTGGACCTCGGAGTCCCTCCCGTGCCGCGGGAGCGGAGCCCTTTGAAAATGTGCCGCGTGGAGTCCCCCCTCGCAGCCTGGCTGTGTGGGGAACGTCAGGCCACACGAAGGACATCAGTCACGGTGCAGTGACCGTCCACTCTGTACCAAGCCCTCTGAACACGTCTTCTGACGTGTCCTGTTTTCTGCACCTGCAGACGTTAAGTGCCTTGCCCAAGGTCACACAGCTGGCAGCAGGCAAAGGTGGGATTAGGACCCAAGACATGCTGACCCCAGAGCCCAGTCTTTCCAGATGTTTGCACCACCTCCCGAAGTAGGAGAAAACGCCCCGAGTGACAGAGCAGTTAACAGTGAGCACTCGGATGCCACAGACCATCTTTTCTTCGACATCCTTTGGGCCAAGGTGGACGTTCATCCATGTGAACTGGAGTCAGGGGCCTGAGTCACGGTCAGACTTTGTCATCTATAATGCGGTCAGTGACTTGGGACCGTACACCAGCTGTTAATACCAGGCAGGTCCCTCAGAAGCCAAGGGTGAACCCACAACATTCGAGTCCCTCTCCTTCACTTGGCATCAGTGAGTCACGGGTCCGGCCGGTGATCGCGCCATGTCTGGGCACGCTTGTCAGGCAGGACGGGAACCTGGAAGGACCTCGGGGGGCCTGGGCTGGAGGCGGTTAAATCAGGCCACCGCAGCCCAGAGGGATGTGAGTTTAGAGACAGGACAGGACAATGTTCTCCTCGGCAAGAACAAACAAATGGCACCTCCAATGTGGCTAAATCACCAGGGGACAAGTCTGTGGGCCCCTTGCCACCCCCGCAGCCAGTTGGCCGTGAGCAGATGTGTGAACCCCTGGGAGAATGGGGGCTGGATGGGTTTGGAGAGCTGAAGTCCTGTCCCCGGGCATCCTGGCTTCTCTTGCCAGCCCCGCATTGCCCATGACAGCTGCCAGAAGTCTGCACGTTTATGTAAAATGTGCCTGATTGTTCAAGCAGACGCTCTCATGCAGTAAGAGAAATGTACCCAGGTAAGATCCAGCCAATGGGCCATCACCTGTGACCTCTCTTCTGGAGGGGGTCAAGGGTCACATCTGGGAAGAGCCACATGTTGGGGATGGGAGGAAAAGGGAAGACCAAGAGGTGTGCACAGAGGCAGAGAACCAGGGAGCTGTATGAAGCGTCTGCCCGGGATGTCCTCACGCCAGGTGCCAGCTGGCTCCCTCCTTCAGCTGCAGCTGGAGGGAGGCCACCCTTGCTGGTAATCCTGTGTAAAGCCCCTTCAGCCCCACCCAGCACTCCTGGCCCCTGGCCCCGCTTCCCCCCGGGCTCTCCTCACCTGGATGCACGTAGGTGTTTGTTCCTTACCTGCCCTCCCACAGGTGCACACCAGCATCTGTCTTGTGCTCCCTGAGGGGCCCTGCCCCGGGTCTGGAGCAGCGCTCCGGCAGCAGATGTTTGGGGGACAAAGTGGATGCGGCATGCTGCGGTCCAGGGTGTGGCCGTGGCAGAGGGGCCCGGCAACAGAGCGGAGCTGAAGGCACCGCAGGGGCGAGGTCGGGCACTCTGGAAGCTGCCATGGGGGTGCGGCAGGGGGCAGGGGCCAGAGGACGGCGTGTGCCCCACCTCTCCGACTGCTGGGGAGCCTGCGTGTCCGGAGGTTGGTGGGACATCAGCCTGGGGCCCCCAGACAGCCAAGGTTGACATCCCCGAGACTTTTCCTGGCTGTTGGGGAAGGGGTTCTAGAGAGGGAGAAAAAACAAAAGAGGACGTACGAGTTAGACGAGAAAATAACTTGGATGGTGCGCAGGGCCGGGCAGCCAGGCAGTAAATTACTTGCCAGACGGAGGAGGATGGGGGGATGAGATGGAGAGAGGGGCCGTCCACGGCAGCGCGGCTGCTGGCTGCTCCAGGTCCAGCGCCTCTGGGCCGCGGCCCCACCGCCCGCCTCGGCACGGCGAGCGAAGAGCGCACTGATTAAAGGAGAGGATGATGAACCGGAGGGCGGCTTTCTTTCCATCAGAGGCCAGTTTCCCTCTCCAGGAGGTCACGAGCCACTGACTCCAATATCGCAAGAGAACACGAAGCCGCGCTCTCCCTCCCGGAAACATTTAAAGAGCCAGGCCAGGCGTTCCTGTGGGCGCCTCCTTACCTTGTGCAACTCAGATCTTCCCAAGGAATCACGTCGGCTATATTAGCTCATCTATTCTGCCGTCTGCCTGCAGCTCTTTAACGGCCTCACAACTCTCCCAGCCTCGCAGTTTTAATCAGTTCAGCCTGCCCTGGAGGAGCAGTCGGCCGCCCTGCAATGTGTGGTCACAACACAGCCGCAGCCGGTCCAGCCTCCCAACTCTTCCTCCCGCAAATGCTGCCCCTCGGCGAAGGCCCAGGCCCAGGGCAGGGCGCCTCGGTGGGTTTA